CAATATCTTTCCCACGAAGTTGGTCAGATAAAGAAAATGTTCCTATTGATGCAGGAGTGCCATTATCTAAAGAATGTGTGTATTGCAGGTTGGATGTTTTGTGTTCTGGTGAGGTCGATCGTAATCCTTTAATTCGCACATCGGAAGCTTGTGAAAGATCGAAAAGAGCATATTCATCCTGAGGTATTAACGGTGAAACTTGTCTACCTTCCATATGTTTTGTTAAGATCCCTTTAAAAAACAAGCATAGTCTAGTAAAATACAAGGAAAACGCACCAAATAAACTTTAGAAAGACAAACTCGGAAATACATGTTTATCACTTGACCGCCGATTGAGTGTACTGCAAGTGTAACTTAATTTTTAGTTGGAACACTTCGGTCTCACCCTCGTGTTATAATGCATTATTTTTGTTGTAACTACATATAGAAAACTAATTAGACGATCGTTATATATACGGAAATTTGTTAAAATTCGAATGTTCCTTATTGATTTCTGAACGCTTATTGTTTTTGCTAATAGGATACGTTGTGTAAGTTACACGATGGTTGGTCGAAATTAATTATAATGATTATTCTTACAATATCCAAATATGGTCACATTTTATTGGTCATCATTATTTTGTTACACTCTTTAATTTTTATTTTACAAAATAATAAATTTGAGTATTAAGAGTCTAATCGTTCCGGGAAAAGTCTCGGTTTCAGATAACTTTTTCTTTCTTTGTTTTCTTAGTTGGCCTATTAAGCGGCGATCTTTTAATTGGCGTTAATTACTAAAGTGATTCGATTAAGTAAAACCCTTTTATTTTTAAAACCGGGGTTAATTTCAAAGCCCAAATAAAAATGTTATTTTCTTTTAAAAATAATTAATACTTATAATTTTCGATTTTTATGTAGTACTTCTATTTAATAAATTTTTAACTAATAAATATTTGGGTAATCTTTTATAATAATAAACTTAATATAACACATATACGTATTTAATAAATTTTAATGTTTGACAATCAAAATCCTTTAATTTAACTTGGTATCGTATGTGATTATTACAATAAGAAATCCAAGAAAAAAAAACCCCTCCTTTTTTTGATTTTTAAATAAATATTTTTTAAGGGTTAAATCAAAAAATCAAATAAATTTATTATATGATTGTTTTTTATTAATTTAAAAATAAATGGTTTTAACCGATTCTCCTAACCACCGCCACCTCATTATTACAATTATTTACATAGCGAGCACACATACTGGATTTAATACAACTAGTAGCTAGCTATTACTTACCTTTTTTTCTTTTTCTCCACAAGGTTTTTAGAGTTTGCATATATTACCTTAATTTTTGATAGGTTAGGATTAATTTACTTTTGTAAAGATTCTTAATGTATTGATAAAAGTTTAATAAAAACCTTGCATTAAAATGCTTATCAAAAAAAAAATAATAAATGTTTTTAAAAAAGCTTATTGCTTCTTTGATAAAAAGTTTTATTTATTTTTTTCATAATGATTTTTTAAAATAAATAAATAAATAAATAATACATATATATATACATATATATATATAATTAGAAAATTTAATCTTATTTGTATTTATAATTCAATAACTAATTAATTAAATAATATATGTATATATTAAATTATATTTTTAAATTATAATTTGTAATTAAAAAAGTTAATTATATATTAATTACAAAAAAAAAACAATTAATTAATCATTAAAACTATTCAATATATTGTCATATATCATTTCTACCTCAGGAGAAAGATAAAGACGGAAAACTAGTAGCAGAGAAACACTTTAGATGGACAGGGCCAATGTGGTATGCTAAAGTTCCTAGAGGCATACAAATTAGTACAATTCTGAGATGTAT